CCCCGGAGATGCTGACCCGCTGAAATTCCCGCTCCAGGAGCCCATCTCTCTCCCGCAGACCCCGGTCGCCCTGGCCCTCACTCTGCTCCTTGTAGAGCCTGCACAGGGAGGTGAACAATTGAGGCTTTGGAGCCTGCAGCAGGCAGACCCCAGCTCAGCCTCCCCAGCCCCACCCTGTCCGCCTCACTGGAGGTCTGTGTCACTGTCTGTCTTCAGGAAATCTTGCTTGGCCCGAAGCAGGATATCTGGCTCCAGCCTAGAGGTGAGAGATGAAAGGTCAGGCAGATATCACAGCCAGCCCCTACTCTCAGACCCACATAGGTTCTCTGTGCCTGCTCAGGCCATGTGATCCTTTGAGGCTCAGAACCCTCTGCTGGGGTGCTGTTCTGGCCCTATTCTAGAGAATAGGAAGCAGACCAGAAGTTAAGCAATATGTTCCAGGCCACACTGGCTGGGAGAAAGAATCAAAAGGCCTCCCGAGCCTGTGCTTCCGATCATTGCTCTGTGCTGCCTGCCCTGGGTGGAGATCAGGCAGAGAAGGGGCTCTGAAAGCCACTGAGCAGAGAAAAGGCTGCGCAGCCACCACCTGAGCCAGCCACAGGCCCAGAAGGCACTTGCACACTCTGGGGGGGGGGGCCGGGGGAGGCTCACTTGACATCCTGGCTGATCTGCCTTTCCAGACGCTGCCTTCGCTCTTCCAGCTGCTCAATGGGGCTCTCCTCGGGGAACTCATAGGGGGCACTGCGGAGCTCACTCTCAGCCAGTGAGCGACTGAACAGCTCCTGTGGGGGGTCAGCAGGGAGAGAGGATAGCTCCTCATGAGGAAGGGGGGCCTGCAGTGCCTGGAAGGAGAAGGGCAGCAGGGCTGGAGGAGCCTGGGAGTGGCGGGGCAGGGGTGTTATGTGTTAGAGAGCAGCCGAGGGTAAAATGGAGGACAGTGATGTAGGAACAAGGGGGGCTAGCAATGAGGTGCATTGCCAGGCGTTACCTCCGCAATCTCCTTGCATTTGCCATCCATAGATGTGCGAAGGTCTAGCGGAAAGTGCTTGAGGCAGGGGGCAGGTCCTGGTAGGGAGCGGGCGGACTGCAGAGGAGGAGCCCCCAGCCCAGCCCTGGCCTCTGTGGGGAAAGTGATGCCAAGTGGGTTTAGGGCCGGAGTCTGGGCACTGGCCTAGGTACCCCTGGAGGCCCTGAGTCCCTACCTGCCCTGGAATGAAGGGCTCAGAGAGTCTGAGGAGTGAGCCTACTCGTAGCTCCCACAGCCCCTCATTCACCCCAGGCTCGGGGTGGGATCCTGAGACTGGCCCTGTGACAAGCAAGCTCCTTCACTCCAGGAATGAGAACCTGACTGTGGACTAGGTCCCACTCCCGAGGGCCATGAGAACTTCCACGTAAGTGCCTCTCACAGGCAGGCACATTCCAGAGCACATACACACACAGCAGATGCCCTAAGGGTCAGATGGTCACACCAGGGATCCTCAGCCACAGATACAGAGCAGGCAGGCCAGGATCAGACCCTCCAGCCAGAGGGGTGGGGTGCCCACCGACATCCCTGACCTACAGACTCAGCTCTGACCTGGGGACTGCTCTCAGGGAGCAAGAGTGAGGACCTGTTTGGCAGCTGGAGCACTACCTCTTCCCAAGAGGCCTGCCCTCTCCCCAAGGACCCCAGGGCTGCCAAAACGTAGCCCGCCCCTCCCACTGTTGGCTGCCCCTCCAAAGGAAGCTGCCACAAACAGGCTGTGCCACTAAGAGGCCCCAGGATCTGGGCTGGAGGCTCCTAGAAAAAGAAACTGGAAGCCAGGGGTCTCTCTTTTATGAGGGGCAGAAAAATGCCTTCGCTACCACCAGGAAGCTGGTGCCAAGGGCCTTGGTGCTGCTCCTCTGTAGGGACTTCCTGAGCGACCAGCCCACCCTGAGGAACCCTCCCTGGCTTGCTCTAATTCACACCCAATGTCACTCTCCTACCCAGCTCTGGGGTGTTCTCCTCCAGCACCCTCCCCCCACCCCCACCTTAGCTTAAGGAGGGATTGGGGGCTCTGCCCAAGCAATGCAGCTCAGTCTCCATGCCTACTTCCCAGTACTCCAGAATCTGGTCCCACCGATGCACAAAGGGAAGAGGGAGGCGCCTGCCCCAGACCCAGGACCTAGTCCCCCCATCCCGCCCCCATCCCTGCCAGGGTTCTACCTAAAGAGTTCAGGTGGCTCCAGTCAGCAGCCCTGTGCCCCCTGCCTGCCTGCTTACCGTGTGAAGCTGCAGCCAGTCCCCCAGGACAACTCAGGGGCCGGCACGGGCTGTACCAAGTGCAGCTGCAGGCAGGGGAGACCCTGGGATGACGGCAAAGAGCAGGGGGCTGGGGGAGTTCAGGGGTGCCCAGAAATGAGAGAAGGAACATCAGAGTTGGGAGGTAAGAAACCCAGAGCTGATTAGGGCCTTAACCTCTACAGTGCTAGGGCCTAGCAAAATGCAGGGCCCCCCAAGGGGGAGGAGCAGGGTAGGCTGATATGAACAGGGCAAGCTGGTAGGGAGGGGCCAAGCCTCCTTAAAATCCACTGCCCTAGGAAAAAGGAAAATGGGCAGGGCCTGTCTGGCCAAAGGATGTTGTTATTGTTAAGTGATGTTGAATAGGTTCATAGTGACCCTCTACAGGCCAAAGAACAGGAGAGGAGAAAAAACAAGAAAGGGAAACCAGCCGTCTTGTCTCTACACCCAATAATCTTAGGCTACTACCCTCTCTGCTCAGGGGTCCGGATGCCCATCACTGCCCTCTGGGCCCTGCCTAGGTGCTCTCTCTGGGGAGATTTGGGGCTTCCTCTGGGAAGATTTGGCAGCTGGGATAGTAGCCTGGTGGGGTAACAGTCAGTCAAGAAGGTTTTTCCACTGCCCAGAGTTTTGGCCCCCTAGACCTCTAACACCTGTCCCAAGCATACCGTCAAAGCAGGACAAATTACCCAGCTGAGTTTGGAGAGTACTGAAAGACTCGAGTCTGACTATTCCCACTAGAGAACAAGTCTCTGCTTCAAGACGCTTCAAGTGCTTCTCTATGAACGCCGGGTAATAAGAGGTTCCCATTCTGCCTGGCCACAGCTGCGTCAGGCTCCAAAAAAGGACGGCTGTGCAAGTGTTCTTAAAACTTCAGGGTGGGTGCCAAGGCTAGGGCCTTCAATAGCAGACCCTTGAGACCCTCAAACATCCCAGACCTACAGATCATAGAGGCAATGCCACATGTAGCCCCACCCCCTAAGGGGGTGGGGAGTGCAGTCAGTACTGAGCCAGGCAGCTGAGCAGTGGACAGTAAAGAGAACTTAACAGGGGAGAAGATGGGAATAACATTATCTCTTGAAGGAGGAGGAGGATGAGCCCTTGTCCTGCCCCCAGGGTGTCAGGCAGAGCCTCCAGTCCTTGCTTGCCTAAAAATCCTGCTGCTATACACCATCTCCCCATATATTACCCCAGGTACCTTACAAATCTCTCTAGGGAAAGCAAACCACTGACCTCAAGGCTGGTCTGTGTTGGGTCAGCAGGATGGGATCCAAAGGACCTAATCTCAACCTCATCTCCCAGTGGGGTGGTCTGGGGTCCCACATCTATCATGGGGGTGTCAAGAACAGGTTTTCAGAGCCAGAGCCATCCCACACTTGCCATGGCACAGGACCGGGATGCCAGAGTTCAGTGGGAGTAACCCCCACACTCTGTGGGGTTAAGGGCTAGAAGAGTCAGCTACCTGCTGGTCCTATCTCCCTAATCCTAGGCTGGAGGGTCCAGCCACAGCTTCACACACATACACCCCAGGAAGAGTCAGTCCATGCACAGCTCCTCCCCAGTCACTCCCACCAACCCCAAGATTCTAGCCGCCCTGTCTCCCCCATTGACCAGGAGCCCCTCACTCACTGCCAAGAATACCTCCTAGGCAAGGCTGTGCTGAAGAGTATCAGATGCACTCACCATTTGACAACCCAAGATCTCTGGTTCAGCAAAGGGTACAGACCTAGCCCCAGGGGACACACCCTTTGGATAACACAGACCTGGGCACAGAGAACACTGACCCTCAGGGCAGTATAGTCCTCAAGCCAAGCATCTTCAATGGCATACACAAGACACGGGGGCAATACTCAAGCTATAGGTACAGACAGCTGCTAGGGGAGGAGAGGTCAGCCTGACCTGGTCTCCAAAGTGTGGACAGGTTGTAAGTACCAGGGTCTGGAACACTGAATGGCAGGCATTGACCCAGGCAGCTGAGCCCTCATGGAGTTGGGCACAGCTGCACTGCATTGCCTGCTCCAAATGGTGCAGAGATGCCTCCCAGAACCAAAGGGTGCAAGAGCGCACACAGCAAGGCAGCAGCCCCCGCCTGAACTTCCAATGGGCCTGACTCACGGAATCACATCCTACCCAGACCAGGAATGAGGCAAACCAGACAGCCATACAACTGAACTCCCCAGCTCCAGGATGCTCACCAGCAAGTGTGCCCTTATGTCAGACACCCCTCCCCCAGCCAGGAAGTTCTGGATCTGGGGTCTTAGAACAGCCAGCTGCAGAAGGAGCCCGAGTTAGCCTGGGAAGGCACAGCCACCATTCAGCAGTGGGCAGCCTGCAAGGCAGCTGGTCCCTACACACCCCCACTCCATTCACATACACTCCACATGCAAACGGTCTCAGCACATCCACACATGTGCACACACACTTCTTGCTGCACACACACGCCCACACACAAACCTGTCACAACCCACCCCACCATCCTATTCACACGACCTTCCACGAGGTCCCTGGGATCGAGGGGGGCATCTCTGCATGGAGGATGCAGTGAAGGGAACCCTGCTCTGAGAGTACCAGTGGTGTGAGCTAGAGATGGTGGGCAGAGTGCCGGCCGCCGATTTGCACAAACTCACCTGGCACTGCGGCGGTGGCTTGCAAGCTGGCCCGCTTCTTAAAGGGATACTTAGCCTTTGGCTTGCCGGGGCCAGATGGATAGGATGCCATAGCTGGAGCCGCGGCAACAATGTGGGGGGAGTCTGAGCGGCTCAAGCTGGGGCCTCGCTCCGCCACTTCCAACCCCTTCCTCCGCCCCGCCCCCAGCGGGAGTGACTGATGCAGGAAGCAGAGGCCCGGCGGGCGGAAGAGGCCCTGGCCTTGATTTCTGATGTTGTCTAGGCAACCCTAGGGAGTGGGGCCTCCATCCCGCCCCTTATTCCTCCGTACCCCTCCCCTTCCCTCTTCAGTTCCTGGAGTGACGCGACTGAAAGTGGCGGGACTTGCGGGGTGGGGCCAAGAAAGCAAGATGGGGAAAGGCCAACCCCCAGCTCCCTACCAACCAACCGCCTCAGGACCTCTCACCCCTGGCCAGGGCTCCGGAGCAAAAAAGCCAAAGTCCAAGCTGGTGGCCCAGCAGCTCAAGGGAATAAAAGTAATACACAGGAATCCAGTCATGCCTCCAAGCTAAGAACGCGTTTTTCCCAGGGCAGGCATACTGGGGCACCCCTCTTAAAAACCTAGCCCCCTCTGGGGGCAGAGCTCCCTTTTTAATTCTCTATCTGACCCCCAGCTCCACGAGAAGCCTAGCTCAGGAGGAGGGGGCGGGTGGAACGGAGAATGTCAGCCTGGTAAGGAGGGGCCAGTCTTGGGAAAATTCCACTGTCTGGCAGAAGCTACCCTCCAGGAAGGCAAACAGGGAGCTTTTCCGGGGGTCTCGGAAGGAGATCCCAGTTTCTTTTGACTTCTCTCTCCCTGTGTTTACACACAGGCGCTCCTTCCCTAAACCTTCCCCGGAAGGAGCCCATTAGTTTCCATAGGTCCTATAAGATGTGCAGAGACACCCCCGCCCCCAACCTCCTGCCATCCTGGCCACTAACTTATCTGTTCCTCCCAACATAAGCTCACTCACCTGAGGCCATGCTACCCAAGCCCCAAGGGGCACTGAGTGGCTCCCCACGAGGATCTGCAGAGCCTGGAAGCCTGGGTCACGACAGAGGGAAAGGGGTATGGGTCCAGGCCCCCGCCAAGACGCTGCAAGGTCCCCTGCTTTGGCACTGACGGGGAAGTAAGACAGCCTTTCAAAATTGCCAGCTAGCAGGAGGCGGATCCTCGGAGACCTCGAAGCCTGGAATGGCCTCGGAAAACCCCTGAGTCCAGGCCCCCAGCCCCCACCAGAGGCGGTCAAACCACGTGCTACTCAGGAGCGGGACCCCGAACTTGCCTAGACTACTCAACACTCTAGATATGGGGACAAAGTCGCGTAGCTGGACGGTGCTGGAGTCACTTAACAGGTGCGACCCCACAAAAATTCCACCCGCCCCAGTGGGTTGTTGAGGCGTCGAGCCCCGCCCACTCCCTCAGGCCGGCCCCGCCCCGCCCCCGGCATTTTTCCTCTTCCCGGCGCCTGGTGGCCAGACACCGCGCCACTGTTGGCTTGGCAGAGCAGGTGGTTTTCAGCAAGTTCGTGAAGTCTCCGTGTGTCAGTTAACATCATCAGTAAAACAGTGACGGAATGATGACAGTACCTCACTCTACAGGGTTACTGTGAGGATTCAACATAAAATCCCTTTGTACCGGTCTTGATACAAAGATTGTTGTTGTTAAATTAAGTGCCGTCGAGTCGGTTCCGACCCATAGCGACCCTGTACACAGGGTTTCCGAGGCTGTAAATCTTTACGGGAGCAGAAAGCCTCATCTTTCTCCCGCGTGATACAAAAGTGCCCCATAAAAGATAGCTATTATCACTGGATTCTCTTTGAGCCGAAGTGGTGGCCCAGCATTTCCGGCCTAGGTTATCTGTTGTCTTCTAGACAAATGTAGGCAGGTAGTGTGTGTCCTGCAATTCTGGCTCCCATCTCTACATTTATTTCTGTATTTGGTGGTTAAGTATTTGCCTGGGTTCGAAGGGAGGCTTTTTCATTTACAATCTGACTGAAGTTGGTCAGTTACTTCTCTGTGCTCCCATTTTGTCTATAAAATGAGTGCCAAAGTTATCTAGTGATTGTTTTTCCTTTCCTTCTTTTAAACTTATTTATTGTGATTTAGGTGAAAGTTAATAGAGCAAATCAGTTTTCCATTCAACAATCCATACACATTGTGTTTCATGCCTTGATTGCAATCTCACAATGTAATAGCAGTCTGCTTCCTCCCTTCATTTTCAGTTTCCATTCATCCTTTCCTACCTTCTGAAACTTTGCCTCTTAGAAAATGTTGCCCTTTTGATCTCAAAAGGCTGATGGTTTATCTAGTGATTATTAATACATGTAAAAGGTTCAGAAGAGAGCCTGGTCTATGGTTGTTACCATGTCCTAGGCCTTAGTTCCCTAGACATTTTCACAGATCGATTCCCCTTCCAGCCTCTAAACAAGTGAAATTGGACTGTTTGGGGAGTTGCAGATACTCCATCCAACCAGCACCCCCAAAGAAGCTTACCTAAGGGGAATGTGGGTGAAGAAGTGTTAAGTTCATAACACTTCACTGAAAACAATTAAGCAGCAATTAGAACTGTCTCTTCTAAGAGACTATGGGACAAGTTCTCACTTGTGAGAGCCCTTTGCCCCCCATATCTATTTATACCAATGTTGTGTATCCAGCTGCAACCAGTTCTCACTAGCCCCTGCAGCAAAACTCCTTCCCAAACTCTGCCTCCTCCACTTGGCTGCATTCTAGATCCTGAATCTCACTATCAGCATCTAGCATCACCTCCATTGTCTACTGCTCCCTACTCAGAACAAACAAAAAACTGCCGTAGGTCTCCATAGCCATGGAAAAAATATGTTCACCTTACAAGGCATCAATAAAACAAACCCGATTTCTTTATTGTGTTTTGCCTATCAAATTAACAAGGATTACGAAAACAAAAATCATCTGAATGCAGCAAGGATATAGTTAGTGAGACTGGTTATACACATGCACACAGATATGAGGTGACTTTAAAAAATTCATGGAAAAGCTCTATTATTTATGAATTAAATTTTCCCATGAACTTTTTAAAGCCCCTACAATACTGGTGAACACTACTGGTGAGCATGACCATTTCTGAAACTCATTTGTTGTCAAGTGCCATCAAATCGATTCCAACCCATAGCGACCCTATATAGGGTTTCCAAGGAGCAACTGGTGAGCTTGAACCGCTGACCTTGCAGTTCAAACGGCTTTGCAGTGTGGCGCATTAACCCACATCGCCACACACAGTATGTAATCAAGAGTCTTGGTAACATAGGGGTTACTAATTGGGCTGCTAACCTCAAGGTCGGCAGTTCGAAACTACCAGCTGTTCCGAAGGAGAAAGATGAGGTTTTCTGCTCCCGTAAAGATTTACAGCCTCGGAAACCCTGTACAGGGTC